TTGTTCAATCGATAGGCGGATTGCTTTCTGCAGGTAATAATGCCTTCATAAATAAAACAAATAATTTGGTCACTCAACCCACAACTTTTTGTGTGACACTACTGTGCATAATTGGCTGCTGTATTTCACCCACAAAATATACAGTCAATTCACTTTACAGTATATTCTGTGAACCGCTTTGAGACGTCTCAGTAACGTGATAAGGCGCTACATCAAATGCAAGGATTATTATTATTGTAGAAGCACAGAGAGGCTCGTGCAGTAACTACTGTTTGTTACACTCCTTGGCCTCGCTTAGCTGCTCGACTTAGAATGCTTTGTAAATTAGCCAGACACAAACGTGGGATTCATGAACCAGGCAGGCCTGGCTCCTGCAGTGGGAAACATGCTTGAGAGCATCACACAGAATGAGATTAATTTTCGAGGAAGGAGCACAGAGAAGATGAACAATAAACAGAGATTTGCAAGCCGCGGAAAAAAAAAGCACGTCTCATTAATTCGCCAGAATTATTTGAGATGTAATTAAACTCGCTGATAAGAGGGACATCCAGGGGGTATCATTTGCTTGCATTCTTGGAAGGCGTTTGAGAGTTGGAAACAAGGTCGGGGATCATGGAATTAATGGCGAATTATAAAGGCGGATTGAGAAATGATTTGACAACAGGAAGGAGCTCAGCCTGGAGGTCAGTCGCTGGCAGTAATTCTACAGTGATCTATTCTGAGGCCCATTTTATTGACACTATTTATAGACCATTCTGAAAGAGAATAATCCTTGTCACATTACAGTGTCTCCATTGGCTTTGGAGCTGTCCATTAACAGTGTCAAGCCTGCAGAGATGGTAAAGCGGTGTGCTCCTCCCTACCTATGTACTGCTAACTCCATACAGACCTGTCTTTTCCCTCCGCTCAGCGGGTTCCGGCCTGCTTCATATCCCTTCTCCTCGCCCTCTTCCTTGCCTCCTTCAAGGCCCATCTCAAGACCTTCTTCTTCAACCATTCCTTAGGTCACCCTCCTACCCCCACCCTCCCTGCCCTCTGCCACTCCTGATCTCAATCCATCCAGCTTGGGTGAAAATCCTTGATTGTACAATGCCTTGGGACTTCTTCCCGATGTGAAAGGTGATGTACAAATGTAATTTGTTGTTGTTGCATGTTACAAGATGAATTCTGAAGGGGGGGGGGGTTGAGGGGTGGAAGGGGAGGAGGGGGTAAGGAAGGCGAAGGGAGGGACTTGAAGAAGTCTTGTTCACAAAGAAGGTTATACTTTGCCTCAAGTGGCTAAGGAGGCTGAGACCATGAGAACATTTCAATAAGTAATCCATGCTTTTGGTTTAAAGCCTTTTACATTGCGAGAATGTCTCAAAGTGCTTTCCAGGACTCACTGTAAAGCATGGTGACTGTGTGTATTTTGAAGCCAGTTCAGCTCCAAGGAGACCCACTTATATTCATGCACCCCAAACCTCACTCTCCGCCCAGAAGGATATTCACCAGTAGGTCATTTGACATCTGGCAAGGGTGGATTTGAGCCCTCACTAGGTCGATGCCTGGTACCAGGAACTCTCTGCGAGCTTCCTTGTGAGCAACACAGCTGAATTACTTATTGAATAACTTAATTATAGGGAAAGAGAAACTACAAGTGTATAACAGCACTTTAAATCTACTCCACACTTGTTATTTATGCAATGTCTTTTGTCGTTGGGTTCATTCTCATCCTTTCTCATATTTTCTCAGCTTCACAATTGAGAGACTCTAGTGACAATATTCCTTGCATTCAATATAGCACCATTAAAATCAAAACATCAAGAAGTGCTTCACAGGAAATTGCTTTCAAGTGTAGTGACTGTGTATTCTGTAGGCAAATGTGGCAGCAAATTTGTACGCAACAAAGTCCCAGAAATAGCCACGAAGTGAGTGATCTATTCTATCCACAGATTGTCAACCAGGACCGTGGGAGAAACTGCTTTCTCCTTTTGAATCTTGTTATGGGTTTAACAGGGACAGACTCTGGCGCAGTGATAACACTCTCACCTCTGAATCAGAAGATTGAAAGTTCAATCCCCATGTCAGGACTTGAAATCTAAGTCTATAAGATGAAACTTCAGTGCAATGTTGGGGATGTGTTGCATTGTCGGTATACCGTCCTTAGAATGAGTTAAATCAAAGTCCCACCTGCCTGTTCGGATGGATGCTAAAGATCCCACAACACTATTTGGCTGTTTATGGGGCACTGCTGTGTGCAAACTGGCTATCGCGTTTCGCTCACAAAATACACAGTCAATCAACTTTACAGTATATCCTGTGAAGCGCTTTGAGATGTCTTAATGATGTGATAAGGCACTGTATCAAATGCAAGGATAATTAGATGAATGAAACTTGAGGTTTGAGGTTTCATCTGAAGGATGGCACCTCCGAAAATGCAGTGCTCTCCTCAGTATTCCACTGGAGCATCAGCCTAGATCTCAAAGTCCCTGACATGAGGTTGAACCCACAACTTTTTGACCACCCCCAATATGTGTGCGTTTGAGAGCAAGCACATTATGTGCCCTTCATTCACTTTAACCGAGTCTCAGCTGGAAGCACATGCCATATCCTGAGGATATCAGTGGAATAGTTTCCATTATATGTCCTGAACTCCTCTGAATCACACAAAGCAGGGTGAGAGATTCAAGCGGACAGAATCAACGGACTAATTGAAAGGGCGAATACTTTCAGGGGAAATGGTATGAAAAAGATGAGATGAGACTTTAAACCGATGAGACCTTCAAATGAGACGTCAAACCAAGGTCCCGTCTATCTCTTCAAGTGCACATTAAAGATCTCATGACCCTATTCAAAAAAGAGAAGGGAGCTTCTCCCAGCTTACAATTCTCCAGTAACACTGGTCATTCAATTCATGGCTATTTGTGGGACACTATCAGGCTCAAACTGACTGTCACATTTGGCTACAAAATTAACACAGTACATATTCTGTTTAGTGCTTTGGGATGTCCTCCTGGCATGAAAGATGCAATAATAAATGTAAAGAATGTTTTTCTAATTCACTGAAAAATGTCACCTGCCATTTCTGTAATGCAAATCAACAGCACCCAATCTAAGCAAATACAATGGGAACAGTGAACAGAAAGTTCACTGTTTGGAGTCCTGTAGCTCAGTGGTTAGAGCACTCGCTTTGCAAGCGAGAGACCTGAGTTCAATTCCAGGCAGAGGGCGAAACCTTGGGCAAGTTTCCTTACTCCACACAGAGCCTAATAATAATCCCTCCAAAACAAAACAATATTAAATTGGTCATTTCAATCTACGACTGTTTGTGGGACATTGCTGTGCGCAATTGGCTGCTGCGTTCGCCCACAAATATACAGTCAATTCACTTTACAGTGTGTTCTGTGAAGCGCTTTGGGACGTCCTCCCGACGTGAAAAGCGCTATATCAAATGCAAGGATTATTATTAGTATTATTAAAGTACTGCAGCACTCTGGCTGCTTGTATAGCTTCTCTGGGAAGACATCCCAAAGGGCTGGGCAGTCAAGGACTTGGACCCGAGCAGGGGATTGCGATCAGGAGGGTGGAGGGCAGGGAGGATAGGGGTAGGAGGGTGACCAAGGACTCAGTCGAAGAGGAGGCTCTTGAGATGGACCTTGAAGGTGCCAGGGGAAAGAGCAAAGAGAAGGAACTGTAGGATAGAGTTTCAAAGGGTGGAGGTAGAAAGATTGAAGGCTTGACTGCTGATGGTGGGGCTGGTCCGGCGGAGGACATGGAGCAGGTCAGAGCCGCAGAGCGGAGGGAGTGGACAGGTCTGCATTGAGGTAGCGGGTCATAGAGGTAGCAAGTAACAAGACTAAAGCACTTATTCAACATAAATCCTGCATTAACCCCATTGCCTTTTTTTTCTGATCAAATAATTGTCTATCTCCCTGTTGCTAACTATTATGGATTCCTCTTTAGCCATCTCTTTGGTTGGGTATTTTTATGTCCTAATAACCCTCTGTTTTTGTATATTTTGTGGAGTGAAACAAGGCTTCAAATTGCGCACTGCAGTGTCCCACAAATAGTCATGGATTGAGTGACAAATTTATTTTGAGGGATAATTAAACCAGAAAGCGATTCACCAATTGGCTAACAACCTGGTTCCTTCTTACTGCGAGGTAAACAGAGGTGTGTGGAGTATGAAAACTTGCCTCAGATTTCTCCCTGCCTGGGAGTTGAACCCGGGTTCTCTTGCTTGCAAGGCGGGAGCTTTAATCAATATGCTACAGGACTTACAAGAGCAATCCTTTCAACCACAGGTATGCCTTGTGGTGGAAGTTAAAGATAGACGACGAGGTGGGTGACCTTCCATTTATTATTAGAGGGAGAAAGATATTTGATCAGCTCGAGGCTGAGTACAGAAACCCATCCCAACAAGGTTCCTGTCAGACATCACATAAAGAAGCACAAGAAATGTTCTGCAAGGAAATGCCATGACTCAAGGAGCTACATCTAATTGAAAGAAAGTGTAGGGGAAACATATCTTCAGCAATAAGGTAACTGGAAATGCAAAAGAACAGAGTGTATCAGTGCTATGTGGAGGCAAACTTTGAGTTCACTATTCACGTTGCATTTACTTAGATTGAGGCGCTGTTGCTTTGCAGTACAAAAATGGCAGATGACATTTTTCGTTGAATTTTTAAACATCCTTACAATTAATTCAGCATCTTTCAAGTCAGGAGGACATCGAAAGCACTTCACTGGGTGCACTGCGCATATTTTGTAGTCAGTTTGCAGCGATGTTCCACAAACAGCCATCAAAGGCAGTTTTATCTGAGGGATTGTTGACCAGGACACCGGGAAAAACTCCTTTGTTTTTTAGAATAGAGCCATGGGGTGTTTAACGTCCACCTGAACAGGCAAAGAACGAGCTAGTTTAACATATCTTCTGAGCCAAGCTAACACACAGAACAGGTTCAAGTAAACACCAGCACAGCTGTGACAAACCAAGCAACACTTCAGTTGGGTTTTCTTACCTCGGGGAGGGCAAAATAAGACCCAGGTTTTTGTAGAATATCGTGCCAAGTACAAAAACAACAGAATCGTCCATTTCTGAAAAGCAAAGTGAGATAGTGCTTTAAAAAAGTTAGGAAATGTTTGGAAAGATTGGTGACATTTTAAGATATACTGTGTTGCAGATTTGGGGCCAGGAGAGGGGGAATTGCAAAGTGTGGTGTGCTAATTAGCACATGGTTGAGAATTGCGACGGAGCAGGTTAATAATCGTTCCCCTTCCTTCCTTCACTGAAAGGCGCTATACAAATGTAATCGTGCTGTTGTCTGATTTCAACAAAATGGTTTGGCCACAGCCACAACAAATTCCATTTGCAAAGCACTATTCTCATCGGGAGGACGTCCAATGGCGCTGAACCATCAAGATTTGCAACCGAGCTGGTGGTTGGGATCAGGAGATGTGAAGGACAGGCAAGGTAGGGGTAGGAGGGCGACCGAAGGTGCGGTCGAAGAGGAGGGTCTTGAAGGAGGCAAGGGAGGGGGCGAGGCGAAGGGACCGTGGGACGGAGTTCCGAAGGGAGGGGACAGAATGGTTGAAGGCCCGACCGCCGATGGTGGGGCGGGCTGGGCTGGGCAGGGGGGAACGATGTGGAGCAGGCCAGAAACCACTAAGTGGGGCCCCATTTCAGATACAGGCTTAAATCAGATTACTTTGGTCAGTTGGAGACCTAAAATGATCTTGAATGTATCTAAGTAACATCCGCTAACAACCAACAGGTGGCACACACCTTTTCCGGGTGCGTGGCTCATACCTCCGCGTGTCTATCTCGAACCACCATTTTGTTTGACGCTCAGGTGGAGGGAGAGGATGTCGTTGTTGTGAATTTTAGGCTCTGTACCGGGCAGATGAATTCCTGGAAAGCAACGTTTAACTTAACCTCCCCCACATATTAGTTAAAGAGCTCTGTGCAGAGCCTAAAATTTACAAAAAAAAGAAAGTGTTGACTCTTTCAAGAATACATTAGATAGATTCCTGTTAGTAAATAACAATATATAGTTTGGGAAATGACATACGACTGCCAGGATGGTAGACGATCGAACTGGATGGACTTTGGTCTTTTTTTGCTTACAAATTCTTAAGGTCTTACTTTCTTTAAAAAATAACATGCCTTCAATTCAGGGTCAAACAAAATGTCGAGCCCGAGGACATCCTGGAAAGGGGTGCGTCCACCTGCCAGTTGTTATCGAATGTTCCTCAAACAAGTTCAGGAATATTTTAAGGATTGCCACAAATTTTATCCCTCCACATTGCCGACTGCAGAAAATAATATGATTTAAGACTGTAAGAATTATTATTATACAGTGAAAGAGTGCAAAAGTGAGAGGGTGAGAGTGTGTGAGAGTATGAGAGAGAGAGAAGTCACCTGGTGAAGCAGGTGTGAATATGTTCCTTGGAATAATGATTTTGTCCTCAGAGTTCCTTGCCCAGTCCACCATTCCTTTCCTTCCTTTCATCGGGAAATTGATGTCGCTCAGCACAGATGCCGCAGGGAGCTTCTGAATGCACGCCACTAAGATAAGCACAAATAGATTTGATTTACAGCATAATTGCTGCCAGTATTATCTTTTCAGGCATATCATTAAACGGCGAACACTGTTTGCACAGCTCTCTTCCTTTTCCCCTTGTGTCCATGAATATTAATCCATTCGTAATGGGGCTAATTTCAACCTTGTAATTACTGTCAGCACTACCGATGAACTAGACATTGGGAGTGTGATTGCATTATGTGTGTGTGATTGTGCGATATACAGAACAAACTGTACAGCAGCCACACTACACTTGAAGGACACCTCGTGAAATTCCCTTCTCTTTTCGAATTAGTGCCATGGGATTGTTAATAATAATCCTTGCATTTGCCAGTGTCTTATCAAGTTGTTGAGACGTGATAAAGCGCTTCACAAGATATACCGTAAAGTGGATTGACTGTGTATTTTGTGAGCGAAACGCGGCAGCCAATTGCACACAGCAATGTCCCACAAATAATCGTGATTTCAGTCACCAAGTTATTATTATTATTTTTTTTTTGACCGTATGCCCTGTGAAGCCCTTTGAGATGTGCTCCTGACACGAAAGGAGCTGTACAAAATTCTGACAGGCTGCCAATCGACTAACAACTGAGTTCCAACTAACTGCTAGGGAAATAGAAGCGTGTGGAGTAAGGAAACTTGCCTAAGGTTTTGCCCTGCCTGGAAATTGAACCCAGGTCTTCTTGCTTGCGAGGCGACCATGCTAACCATTCCGCTATCTGACCCCTAATATCCATCTGAACCGGGAGACGGGACTTTGATTAATGTCTCATCTGCAGTATGGTATCTCTGACAATGCAACACTCCGCCTGCTTTGACTACGATTTCAAAGTCCTGACTTGGGGTTTGAACCTACAACTTTCAGAGGCCAAAGGGTTAGCGACTGAGTCAGGCTAACACCTAATTGAACACTGCTGCCTATTTTTTTAAAAAAAACTTTACTTTGTTTCCAATTCATTTCGTTTTGCAATGGGCTCGGAGACATTTATCGTTATGAAAGAGCAGCTCCATAAATGCTGGTTAATATTGTTGTTGTTATTAAAAATGAACACAACCTCAAAAAGCTCTTGGCAAAACAAAATTACATTGCACATTAATGCTTGTAAATGTAAGGATTGATGACCTATCGCACAGATCCTTTCGCTTAGCAGGTATTGGCCTGCTTTATGTCCACCCCCACACTTTATCCACCTCATTATTTGTGGGCAGAACGGAGCCATTCTGCCCCCGTTCTTTGGCACTCGCTCCCTCTCTCACCTGGCTCAGGGTCCATCTCAAGACCTACCTCTCTGTCCGTGCTTTCAGACATAATAAATAAAATTAATAATCCTTGCATTAGATATGCACTCGGAGACGCTGTCCGGCGTGAAGGCCCAAGCTGCTGTTGTTGTCATTGATACAGAACCTTATCATGTCACTGAGATGTCTCTGAGCGCTTCCCAGAACATATTGTAAAGTGAATTGACTGGAAATGTGGCAGCCAATTGCACACAGCAGTGTCCCACAAACAATGGTGCATTGATTTACCAAATTATGACTTATCTTCTCTTCCCACTCCGCTGGGCGCCCACCCCCAGCTCAGATGTCTATCCTTCAGTGTCAAGAGCTTTGAGACGTCCTCGCAACATGAAAGGCGCTGTACAAATGGTATTGTATTGTTTTTTTTGACAGTGAGATATCTAACAGGTTAGTGCGGCTAACTCTGACAATGCATCAGACACGTGGTTAGTGTTGTGTGAGTCTGGGAGCTGACAGTGATGCACATTTCTGTGCAATTACTCCGAAGTCAAAGCAGTTTGGAAACAGATTCTCCACTTGTGAATTCAATGAACGACACAATGAACTTGACATTGCTGTATCATCACCTGACCAGGACCCTTTCCTCCACCTCCACCACATTACCTACCTCCAACCGTACCTTACCCCAAACACAGCTGAAACCCTCGCCCATGCGTTCATCACCTTCAGCCTCGATTACTCAAATGCCCTCCTCGCTGGTCTCCCCAGTTTCATTATCCATAAAATCCAGGTAATCCAAACCTCCGCCACCCGCAAACACACCTGCACTAAATTCCATACCCTTATCACACCAGTTCTAGCCAGACTCCACTGGCTCCCTACCTCGCCAACCTGCTTACTATGCAATCCACTACTTGTTAGACTCCCTGGATTGAGGCAGGAAGTTCCAGAGATTAGGGGAATAGTGACTGAAGGCACATCTACCAACATTGGCTAAGCAAGCACTTGTCTCTCTCCGTCTAGAGAATTCCCATCGTTTCTTTCTCTACAGCTCTGAGGGCCAAAACACTAGCATGTTCTCGCACCTCGCTGGGCAAAGAGAAGTTTCCTGATCTCACATCTTGCTGACTTGGCTCCCACGTTCTGAAAAACAAGTGTGGGAGTGTTGCTGAAGTGGCACGTTCTAGCCCACACTGTTTATTACAGTTATGAGTGATTTTATTTGCCATGGTAACCCTTATATTTCTATAAGACAATGTTTTCCATGCACTGATTTTCAGACCTGTGCCTCTGTCAACAAAACAACTAACATTTATGTAGCACCCTTCACACCGCTAGTCAAGCACTTAATGGGATCTTTAAAGTCGACCCGAACAGACAGTAGAACCTGAGTTTAACATCTCATCTGAAGGATGACATTTCTGACAATGCAGAGTTCCCTCAGCACTGTGAGCCTGGACTTAATATGTCTTTTAGATCAATAAAATGATAAATAATAATAATATCATTGCATTTGGTCTAGCTTCCTTTCATGTCAGGAGGTGTTTCACAGGATTTACTGTAAAGTGCAGTAACTGTGTATTTTGTAAGTGAAATTACTAATTTGCGCCCAGCATTGTTCCACAAACAGCCATGAAGTGAATGACCAGTTTTATCTGGGGGATCGTTGGCCAGGACACCGGGAGGAACTCCTTACTCTTTTCAAGTTGTGCTGTGGGATCTTTAACATCTACCTTAACAGCCGGACAGGAACACGGTTTAAAGTCTCATCTGAAGGTCGGCGCCTCCGACAATGCATACACCCCCAGCATTGCACTGGAATACCAAGTCCCAATGTGGGGCTGTGAACCCAGAAAATTCTGACTCGGAGGCAAGAGAGCTACCAACTGACCCGGGCTGACACAAGAATTTTGTTTCAGGCAGAGAAAAAAAAAAGACATTTTAGTCATAGGTGCTCATTTCTCATCAGTTGTTCTTAACCCCAGCTTGATGCTGAATATTTGACAGAGAAGCCCACAGTCCACCTCTGAGCATGAGGCATATTACAATACTACTGAGTGGCAGCCAGAAATGGTGCTAAAAAAACATACGCCCTGTAATTTGGCTTGACAGGTAATATTGCGCATTGGGCTGCCTCCTTTATCTTCTTTATTGTGGGAAACAGGGCAAGTGAAGGACAAAAGTGCTGGGTATAGTCTGTGTGTGTAAACCATGCACTCATCCAGCAAGGACGGGTGGGGTATATTGAGTGGGAGCGTGGGAGAAGAAGATCTCTCGGATTATGGATTGGTCGAGATGGAAATCGGAGGCTATGGGTGAAGAAGCCAGGGAAGGTGTGGGGTGAGGAGAAGGCGGACGCAAAGTATACACTCAGCAACCAGACTCTGTAAAGCTCACACGGCAAATGAGCCGATGCCTTTTGCCTGAAGCAAAAATTTGATTTTGTTTTTGCCTGAAATAAATAAATCAGCCGGTGGTTCAGATAAGACTAAATTCAAATGGCCCGAAGGAAGACATCGATCTTACAATAGGCCCTGAGATTTCAACTACATGTAGCCTGTTGGCGAGTCTGAGTCAGAAAAAGCTTTTCCGGTGGTAATAATCCCCACTAAAAAATAATAATAATTTGGTCACTCAATCCACGACTGTGTGTGGGACACTGCTGTGTGCTATTGGCTGCCGCATTTCGCTCACAAAATGTACATTCAATTCATTTTACAGTATATTCTGTGAAACACTTTGCTATGTCCAGAAGACATGATAAGGCATTGTATCAAATGCAAGGATTATTATTATTATAACGTTAGGGACTTTCAGCTCAAAGTCTTGGCTGGCATTCCATTACAAATGCTAAGGGTGGGGGGACTGCCTTGTTGGAGTGCTGTTCTTTGGAAGAGACATTAAACCAAGGTGTCGTCTGTCTGTTAACGTGAATGTTAAAGATCCTACGCCACTGTTTGAAAAGAGGAGTTTTTCCCAGTGTCCTGACCAACAATCCTCCAGATAAACCTTAGGCCAATTTCCTTACTCAACACACCTCTGTTTACCCAGTAGCAAGTAGGAATCTGGTTGTTAATCGATTGGTGGATCAATTTCTGGGGTTAATAATCCCTCCCCCCCCCCAAATAAATGTGGTCACTCGTTCCAACTCGTGCAGTTGGCTGCCGCGTTTCACCCACAAAATGCAGTCAATCCACTTTACAGTATACACTGTGAAGCACTTTGAGATGTTTCAATGACTTGATAATGCGCTATATCAAAAGCAAGTATTATTCGTATTATTGTAAAATTGTCATTCACATTCATTGCTGTTTGTGCTGTGTGCAAACTTCCCTTCGAGATGTTTTGAAGATATATGGTGCAAATCTAATGCAAGAACTTAATATCTTAATAGTATCTTAATAATAATCCTTAGAATTTGATAAAGAGCCTTATCATGTTGTTGAGATGTCTGAGAATACACAGTAAACTGGCTTGACTATGTATTTTGTGGGTGAAATTTGGCAGCCAATTCCACACATGTATTGTGCACACTAAGTATTATGCTAAGCCATTAAAGCTTTATTTTTTGATCCACTGTGTCTCAACTTAAGATCGCTTATACATTGAGCAAGACTTTAGTTGAAGCAGTTGAATTTGCTGCTTCAGGGAACAGCACTGAGACTTCCGCAAACGGTAATAATTTATAAAACTAGCAGAAGCAAACAGCAGAAAATAGAAACTAAACAAAGAGAGCAAGGAGGAC